CTCACATCAGTACATGGATCAAATTGATAAACGTGTTAAGTTAGGGAAACTTCTTGTTGACAAGAAGCTGTTGTGATCTTCACAAAGCATGTGCCCAGGCTTTAAAATGTTACAAGGGTAACCTTTAAACTGATTAAAATGGTAATAGGACTGAGTGGGTTCCAATTCATGCAGTGTTTACATTCAAACATTTACTGCGGTTTAAATTGACCGAGGTCAAGTTAACTGAACCTAAGTAGATTAGTGCAGTGTTTATACTGGCTCAAATAACCAAAGTCAATCTGTCAACACTGCCAAAAATTGAATTGGCAGGAAATACAAGCTAATGCGCGCAATTTTTAAAACATGGTCGGTATTAACAAGAAAGCGGTCGCTCTGATAGTCATTGCCTTTTTTTTTTTAATCCTTGAGAAGCAAGTAGAAGCGTCTCGATTACGGCAACTGCTGATAGTACAACACCTCAAGAAAGTGAGGCGAAAACGGATGATTTTACTCCAACATATGCAGCGAAATAGCAGGCAAGCGAGACGTGCTTGGTCCTGGCCAAGGAACCAACTCTGGTTCGAAAACCTACTAAACGGGTCTTTTGTCGAAGATTGGTGGAAGGAGAACTTCCGAATTACAAGACGTACCTTTGAGTTTATTGTCCGTGTGGCTGGTCCGGAGATGGCGAAGAAAGACACCAGACTGCGGCAATCTATCCCAGTGCACAAGCGAGTAGCGGTAGCATTATGGCGGCTAGCAACGGGCGACACATACCGATCTACAGGACTACAATTCGGTATTGGACGGTGCACAGCCATGTTGATAAAACAGGATTTTTGCAATGCTATTGCTAAACGTGCTAAAGAATTCATCAAATTTCCAGAAACCGAACAAGAGGTGCTACAAAGTATTAGATTGTTTACAAATAAGTCTCCATTTCCCCAAGTGGTAGGGGCTATTGACGGTTGTCATATTGCTTTGAAGACAGTGCCTGTGGACAAGGGAATTGATTACGTCAACCGAAAGCAAGATTATTCTGTTGTGATTCGAGGTGTTGCTGACGCGTCATTTCGATTTCTCGATATAAGTGCAGGCTATCCTGGTAGCATTCACGATGCGCGTGTTCTTCGTTTAAGCAATCTGCACAGGGAAATTGAACAAGGCAACTGGCTGAACGGGCCTACAAAACAAATTTCTGGTTCCGAAATTAGACCTTTGCTTGTTGGAGACTCAGCATATCCCTTATCTGTTTGGTTAATGAAGCCTTTTAAGCAAACACGCACGTTAAGTGAACGACAACTGCGGTTTAATCATGCTCTCAGTCAAGCCCGTGTTGTTATCGAACAGGCCTACGGAATCTTGAAAGGGCGGTGGAGGTGCCTTTACAAGGCAATGGAAGGAAAGACAAATAGAGTGGCCATCACGATCTTGGCATGCTGTGTTCTTCACAATATTTGTATCGATGTGGGAGACCCTAGCCCCATAGACATATTGGGAGATGACGACAATGACATGGATCAAAGTTTAAATGGAGACGTATCGCCAATTGCGTCTGATGTTTGAGACAAAATTATGGACTATTTATCGGCTTAGGAAAATAGACAAAAATAGACCCCGCTCATATTGATTTTTCGCTTACTCATGTCATTTTCTTTATTTTCGCAAAAAACTAGCATTGTAGCTCAAGTTTGTACACATGTACATGTAAAAATTCGTTAAAGTTTTCAAAGTTAACAAACTTCTCAACTGTTTTGTTTACAAATTATAGACACAGCGATTTTGAGCAATTATTTAAAAATATAAAATGATTGATTAAAGAGTATATGATCGAATACAATTATTCATGATTTTAAAATACCGGATGTTAACATCTCTGGTTTGATTTGTGATCACTAAAAGTTGATCAGCATGTATCCAAAAACGTTTTTTTATCCAAAATCTTTTCAACACAACATTCAGCTAATTAATAAATGATTTTGTATTAGTGGATCCACTATTTCGTGACAACAGAACACAACAATAAAAATACTAAAAAATACTAAAAAGGGTGTTCATTCGTTTCCTTTTCTAAACGTCCTTGCGGATGTTTCCGAGCATAGCAAGGGCATCCATGGAAAACTTCTGCTGATCTTTCCTGTATTCTCTCTCGGCTTCAGCCATCCACTCCATAAAAGCCTCGTCCCTTTCTTGTGAGCGTTCAAGAAATGATATCAAGGTTGGCTCGTCTACTCCTGATAATCCGGCTTTTCCCTTCTTTTTTGTGCCTTTTTTCGATGGCCTTTCCGCTGCATCAGCGGCGCGCTTTCTTGGTAGCTTTTTTTCCACATCAGCCTCGTGCCTCTTCGGTACCAGTGTGCTTGCCAAAGGCTTTTTATTTTTGCCTTCACTCTTAAAAAAGAGGGATTCTGCAAAGGCAAGTGACTGGTCGTTATCGGATTCATCTCCATCAGAAGGCACCGTGCACTCGGATGGAGGAGAAACATTCTGGGCAGTCCCTTGCCTTTGTTTTTGTGCAGCTCGGCAGATTTCCTCATCTAGGGCATCTTTCTCAAGGATATCGCCTTCGAGTTCCAACATTTCCGGTGACTATCGGGGACGTGAGAGCTTTCGAGCACGTGGCGTGCGTTGATGGATTCCCTTTTACCCAGAATTTCATCCATATCATTGAAATGTTTCGGTATGATATCCTCACTTTCTTCACTTTCATTGTGGGACGGCACATCGCCCCCTCTGCCGTATCCTGTCGACCGAAGCTTGTCTTTGGTGTTTTTATATGTCTTTGTCAAATTTGCCAATTATTTTGTTCTTGCACTGTTGTGGCGTTTTGTCTCTGTCTACGTTTTGTTCCTTGCACCGCGAGTGCAGCTGGCGAGCAATCGACAGCCATTCAGGGGAGCTGAAGGCTTTGTATTGCAGCTTATCTTCATTTTCTCCAAACAGCTCCACCAAGATCTTTTCTTCAGTGTCTGTCCAACGATTTTTCTTCTTTGGACCACTGCTGCTACTGCTGCTGTGGCTGTTCTCTTGCAATTGCGAGCCAGGCAGATCAGAATGCGGTCGTACTGAAGATGAGTGAATTTCTTGCGCTCCTTGCAATTGAGAGCCATAGAACGGCGGCACATCATATTGAGGTTGTGGGTAGTAAGGGAAATACGTTGCAGACATTCGCGAATATTGTTGCTGTGGATCTTGCCTGGAAAAAAAACGGAAAACAAATAAATAATCTGTTTTATCTGGGTAAAAAAAAAGTGTGAGTGGAATGAAGTGGAGAGGTAATACATCGCTTACCTTCCGGTTTGACTGTCGTGATAATTCAAAAATGTGTCCTTATTTTGTTCCATTTTGCTAGAGCACGAAACGTGGCGCAAAGAAAGCCTGAACTCTGCGAATAAAACATGAAACGTGACAAGGAAACTTGAACTCGCAATAAATCAAAAAAAACTTCACTGCAACCGGATGTATCTGTCAATTTGATCTCGGTTACCGAGCTAAACCAAGCCAAATCACTGCATCATTATCGCTTTTACCGTGGTTAAATTTCCTTTCTCTTTTGCCGCATTTACTGAGGTATTAATTGATGTTTACATTGACTAAAAATTTACCTAGGTAAGTAAAACTCTTTTACCGCTGTAAAAATCCCAAGTGTAAACACGGCATCAGTCTGTAAGCAATGCTGCCATAATAGCACAAAGTTATTGTGATTACAGACTGAATTAGATTACATGCAGTGCTACCATCCACAAGTGCATCTGGGAAATTGCATTTATATGGTAAAAGATTTTTTAACCAACAAAACAAAGTTCAACAGTTTATTTAGTGATCTTATACTTGGACTACAATATTTGGATGAAAATAACTTGTATCACTCTAAAATTTACTTTTTGAATTGAGTGCAATCACTCTGTATAACACTTATTTATGTTTTACTTATTTAATGTTATAAACAGTTTAGCAAAGTTGTATTGTTGCATCAACGAACTTATTGAACTTGTCAATTATATTGTTATTACATTATAAATGTCTGTTAAGGAAACTCAACAATAGTTTTGGGAGTAAAGACTGTGTCAGATGTCACTGGTCACTGCCGGATATGGCGTTAGTCTGCAACCCAGATAAATGGCACAGCTAATTCCAAGCTTGTAATTGACTGAGCCACAACATGCCACAATTTCTGCCCATATTCAAATGTGGAGAGGAAATCCAGCCTTGTTCCAAACTCCATAATATAATACAATGCCCAGCTGTAAACTCTTTTTCTTGTATATACATTCAAATTTCTTCCTGGTGTTTACTAGACTGGTGGCCTTCCCATTTACTCTGCCAGTCAAATATTTCTTAAAGTACTTTTTCTCATCACTTTCATCTAAGCCACTCAATAGGGAAAGAAAAACAACAACGGCCTGTTTGGAAATAAATGAAATAACATCGTCCTTTGACCTCTCTTCATATGTGACCTGATCTGTAATTTTATTAACTCTTGAATGCTGAAGTGCTCTCTTCAGACAGTGAAACAAGTCTACTGGAATATTTCTTTGAATTTCACATTGATATGGGTTCCTGATGCTTGGTCTTCCTGTAAGCCAAAAATACATCTTCTGCAACCATAATTTGCTTTCTTTTTTTAAAAAAGTGAGGCGCAGTTTAAGCTGGTATTCAACAAGATTTTAAGAGGGTCGGTCGGTGGTTTAAAGGCTTGGAAGGAGCCCTTGATTTGTTGCCGAATGCTCTCCTTTAAAATACAGAGGTTATTTCCCAAATCAAGCTTATCAAAAACTTGTAAACACAACGCTATTTGAGCTTCTAGATTCTCCTCCATATCAGTGGTCCTTGGAGGTCCGGATGATTCGTGAAGTTGTTCAGACTCGCTGTCATTATCACTCAAAAGTACTTCATCGAGGAAATCTTCAACTGACGCCATGTTGAATATACTGTGCGCGCGATTGTGAATGCTATTATAACAAAATCCTGCTGAACAGTTCATAATGCAGACCCTTGTAACATTTTGAAGCCCGTGCGCCCACCGTGTTGTACTCTTGATAAGTCTGCCTAACTTGGCGCTGGTCTCCTGCCAACTCAACGCCCTCCTCAAAAGTCACAATCACGCCTTCCTGGTCAAAGAGCTCATCATGTACCTGATTTCCATCTCTAATGGCTTTTTCAAGAACAGCCTGCCACTGAATGTTCATAGATTGTCCCATCAAAAAAGTATCAAGTCCGCATCTTTTATAAAGCAAACCAAAATTCATGGCGATAAACACACACGCACTGCTTCCATTTTGATTGTCAGTTGTTGACTGGGCCATGTCGAGGGGAAAATACCACTCAGTTACCCCAGGAACGACATCATTTCCCACCATACAATTTGGTACTGGAACCACTAGTGGCACTGCATTGACCACTGATATAGAGGCAGCTGTGACAGAGTTCATGGTGGAAGCAGTTAGACTTGTGCTCACGGTTGAACTGACAGTTGCAGTGGAGACTGGGAAAATGTCCACAGTTGAACTTACACTCTCAGTAGCTGCTGGGTGAGTACTTGCGGATGAACTGACCATCACAGTGGCAGAAGGTATTGTACTTGCAATAACACTCGTGGTAGCTGGCATTGGGCTAACAGCTGAACTGACAGTTGCTGTAATAGTTGAGGAAGCAGTTGAACCAGTAGTGGGTGCAGTGGTTGCAGGTGTTTGTTGAAGGTCTGCAGCTACACGTTCAGTTCCTCTCCTTCTCTTCTGATGATAACTGCTCCACCAGCTTGTTATTTGGGTTTTTTGTAAGGGATTTAACCCTCTTGCTTTCATCTCTGCAATACAGTCATCAGCATCCGCTCGAATCCCATACTGTGCTTGACGACTGCAGAACTCAATCATTACTTCCTTTTGCTCTAATGTAAACAGCACTCTCTTTGCTCCACCACCTCTCAGGGCATAACCAGGGTTTACAGCATAAGTGACAATGCCCTCTTCCTCCACAGGTACCACAGTCACTGGGAGTACCTGCTCAGCAGCTGCATGTTGCACAAACCGAACACTGTAAGGCTCTTCAGATGTTATCTTATGTGGGGTTGCTGAAGCTGCTTCACAGCAACTCTCTTCTGAGGTACTCGCACCGTTTGCCCCTGCAATGGGATGGGTGCGGTTGGAAAGGCCTTGGATCTGAACTTTTGTTTTCGTCATTTCCTTCCCCATTCCAGCAAGGGATCTGGCTATGAGACCTCCACTGTTTGGCCCAGATGTGGGAAATTAAAAGTTTCCATATAGTGAAATGTCTTTCAACGTTCCAACTTTATCAGGAGCCTTGCTTCTGTCAATCAACAACTTTCTACACTTGACATTCTTGATTGACTCCAAAAACAAAAAAATTATTACATAAATTCCAAAAAAACTTAGAAGAATGAAAGAAGATCTCCTCACTTGTTACCATTTTTCCATAACAGGTTAAGGTGATTAAGGTTATTTTCTACCAAAGCAGTAACCTTGAGAAATTATTTACAGTATTTCATTCCCAAGACAAAAGAAATACAAAACAGAGAATCATTTGTTCTGTTCCGAACCATAAAATATCTGCCACAACAGCTGTGTATATGTTACAGCTGGTCAAAATAAAATTCAGGTTAAGTTTTTTTAACCTAGTTTAAAAAAATAACTTCCTTTGTCTCCTCATCCTAATTATCCATGAAGTAGGAATAGGAGACGAAGAAAATTGAGAATCAACCTAGGTTAAAAAATTCTAACCTGAACAGAATGTGGACCTTGCCTATGTACATGTTAACTAATTTCTATGGCAAAAAGCACCTCCTTCCCCAACAAAACCACTCGCACATCAATTAAAATCTGGAAATGAATTACACTTCTAGTTTTACCTGCTTCTCTTTTAATCAAGACAAAAATCTAGTGATTTAAAAGGATAGCAACATTTAAAAAAAAAATAAAAGCAATTTGCAACCCCAATTAATTCCCCAAGCTGGCTTCCAGACTCCAAGCTGTTCCCCACTCTCACCCAACGCACTATTTTGTGACTAATGTGAGCGAAGTGGGTATCCAGCTTTGATTTTCCTTCCCCAGCTTCAAAATTGTTGTACTCTATCAAGTGGAGGTTGAATGCTGCATTCACTTCGGCAAGATAAAGTAGGAAGCCAGAGTTGTGATAATGAGGGCCATCATCTATATAGACAAAACAAAACATCCAAAGTACTGAGAATATAAACTTAAGTACATGTACTTGAGACAACTATTACCTTTAAGGACTGCATGGTAAACTTGAATATTTTGTCAGCTAAAATGGGTTTTAACCAAAAGTTGTCAAGTGGTGGTCTTACTTGTACAAGATAACTGATTTTCCCACGTAAGCCTAGGTTGCTATAGCAATGTGTTTAAATTACATTTTCCCCTCTAGCAAATGCAGCAATAATTCTTGAGGGTGAGGTTGGCACGTGTTGGACAGCTAAATAATATCATGGTATCATTAAGGTGACTGATACGTTGGGGAGAATATTCATTTCAACATGTTCATTTTAGACTTGTTTTGCTGCTTATGCAACCGCAGCAAGGCTACTGTGTACATGATGGGTACCTGGTGGTGTCAAAGTTTTAAACATTTTGCCCTATTAAGTAACTGTTTAGTACATTATGAAGCTGCATTTAACTACTTACACACTCAGCTTACCTGAAAACAAATATACACTGAAGCCAGGGAAGGTTTTTTCCAGCCATCCGCACCTCACATCCATTGCACTCTGGCTGAACCAGGAATCCTGCTTCATGTCCTCGCTCCATAAATCTAACACCTTGCTGACCTTTGTGGTTGCACCTACTTGGGCTATGACAAGAAGGCCATAGAGCGATATGCCTCTCTTGCCATACCAACCCCGCTGACATTCACGTAAATGGACACCAAGTTCGAGGTTCATCTTATAGTCAATAATGATGACAGCATCACCTGGCTGAAGACTGTTGAGGATGAACTTGTGACAGTCTGCCTGATGTTTTGTCCTTCACAGGTGGCTTGCATACAATGCATGGCTGTTCATTACTTCCTTTTGCTTTGTAGCAGTGTTAGCCAACCTGTTTATGGTGTCTTGGGCAGCCTTGTCTACTTTAGCCAAGGCAACAACATCACTACAACAGTTGGGATGAGACTCTCGGCAAGATCCAAAGGCATGGGTGATACAAAGTTCAAGGCAAGAAGAGTGCTTCTCAGCAACTTTGCTGAACTGGTTTTTAAAAAATCTCTGATGTTTCAACACCTTTGTTTTCTCTTCTTTCAACGAAGCACCCACTTTTTGTTCAATTTCACTCAGTACGGACAGCAGCTTGTCATAATTGGAATGACCATATTCATCACAAATATTACACAGTCCTGCCAACATTTAGTCAGATCTAAAACTGGGTGGTAGGTGGCTATAGATGTATGTTCGCTTTACACCAGAAGTGAACTATAGTAGATATTGGTTAACCAGATTCTTGATACTGTCTGTACAGTATCTCACGGGAGTTTCTTCCCCATCAACAACTATGCTTCTGCAGGAAGACGGCCTGGACACATCATCCCTCATGAAGAAATCTGACAGTTCCTCCAGAACAGAGGGGCTGACACATGAGCGATGGAACTTGAACTTTGGTGGTGGTGTGCCACCACGACCAAAGAGGATGCTGTGAACCCTTGCAGCAGTAACAGTGTTCGGGGAGCAACCAAACTGCTCTTGCAGGAATCGGTAAGGGTAATCCATTGCAACAATGGATAGCAACCTTCTCCTTTCATCGGCAAAATATGTCATCCTTCGAACCGAGTTAGCGACAGTAACGGGGTTTTTAAACTCTTCTGGAGGTTTGTCACCCAACAAAGTCAGTCTGCTGTCTTTTAGAGAGGACCCAATTAAAATCTTAGCCTTTTGAGCAGCTGCCTTCTTCTGAACCTCTTTTGCCTTTTCCTTAGACATGCAATCCTTATAGTCTTTAACAAGTGACTGCAGGATTGGATTGCAGCTTTCTCTAGCATCAGTCAATTCAACACCAAATGTTGCGGCCCACTTTTTGCTGTTTCCCACGTCAGTGATAAATTGCATCATGTTACTCTCTTCAAATAGCACGCTTGGAAGTGCCATGTGTTTTATGTTGGAAATTAGTTCAGCTCTCATCTCTCTTTTTCCACGATCAGTTTGGTCTTTATAAGCAAACAGAGGAACAACAGGTCATTGTGTACCTTGATCATGCTTTCCATGTGTGGAAGTGGGCGCTGATGCAGGTACTAAGGGTACAAATTGCTGAGCACCATCAATTTCTTCTGCAACTGGCAATACACTATCTTCCTCAAGTCTGGAGCAAACATCCTGGGCAAAAAACAAAATATCAAATAGAAACAGGTCAAAAAAATATCCTTAAAAGGAATAAATTTCAAAAAGGTATGAAAAACTAACCCATAGCTACAGCGAGACCATACCAAAGATGTTGATCCTAAGAAAAATGTGTTCTGTATTGGGCTCTGTTGCTTCACAACTCTCACTAGTATGTATTTTTTTTAAACTAGCTGGCAATGTAATGCCACATTTCCGTCTCAACAGCAAATCAGTTCATTATAAAATTTCCCAACAATTTTATTGGGGATATATAAACAAGTCTATTCAGTTAATATAATCTCTACAATCCAACTCAAGTTGTAAAACTGAACAATGACAACGACAAGATAAAAATAGGTTGTATATACAGTCTCCAAAAATCAATTCTTGAAATATAAAATACTCAAACAAAAAGGAAAATTATGATAACACCCTTCTTCAGTAATATTTCCCCTTTTGAGGACGTAAGGAGCAATCATAATAATAATAATAATAATAATAATACTTATATAGTGCTGATATCTATATATATATAGCTATTTTCATCAGCGCTTAAAAATAAAAATATCAAAAAAAAATAGAAAAAAAATACTGACACTGCATAAAGTATACATACAAAAAGTGCATGAACCTACCAAAAAGAGTAAAACAATTATGTCAACACTAAAACTATAAAAATTACCTAGACTACATAAATCATAAAAAACTGCAAAGAACCTACTAAAAACGAGATTAAAAAGCAGATAAAATCACGAAAAAGCTTTCTGAAATAAAAATGTCTTGAGTGTCTTTTTAAAAGATGCTACTGAGGGGCTACTCCTAATTGAATAGGGCAATGAATTCCATAGCTGAGGAGCAGCAGCAGTAAAAGATCGATCTCCTAACATTGTTAAAGTCTTGAATTTCAAAAGGTTTAGTAGCAGTCCATCACAATCGAAGCGTAACTTGTATTTACATGCTTCTTTAAGACTAATAAGTTCCCGGAGATAAAAAGGCGCTAAGCCATTGATAGCCTTATATGTTAACAATAATATCTTAAAGTCAATTCAGAATTTAACCGGCAGCCAGTGCAGATTATACAGCAACGGTCTTACATGGCAGTATTTAGATTCCAGGAAAATTAACCTAGCGGCAGCATTTTGGACCCTCTGTAGCTTATTAAGCTGGTAAGCTGGCAGGCCATAGAGCAAGCTGTTACAATAGTCGACACGACTTGAGACAAATGCGTGAATGAGCATCTCAGTGGACCACCTAGGAAGATGTTTCCTAATTCTTCTTATATTATACAAGTAATAAAAAGCACTGGAACAAGTGTTATTTACATAAGAATTCATTGAAAGAGTCGAGTCTAACCTTGTCCCTAAGTTCTTAACTACCCCTTTTGCTCTAATTACACAGTCTCGAATTAAAATATGATCAATATTAACTTTGGCTAGTTGTTGCTTGGTACCAATCATTAGGAATTCTGTTTTATCGTCATTGGGAAGAAGTTTATCATTGGTCATCCAATTACGTATATCATCCACACAGTGCTGTATAGCAGTGACAGCCTCAAGTTGCCCGGTGCTTATGTTTGATCTGAAGGCACATACAACTGCGTGTCATCAGCGTAGCAGTGAACCGTGGGAAGTTGCACCTTGATAACATCAAACAATTTGCCTAGCTGTAAAATATTGACTTTTAAAAACTGCAAAATTGAGTATACGTCTCAATGAAACAAAATGTTATGGTAAATTTAAAATGGGCTAAGCCAACATTTACAACAAGGGACATCGTGTCGTACAATGACTGAATGAGTTTGATGATTACTTTTCATACTTTTATTTTGGGAAACGGTTATTTAGAACACAGATGACTGGGCGAACAGAAATTGGACAAATACGGCGAAACATGAATCAGTCGGTTTCTTTCTGAAATATCACATTAGGCATTGTAATGTTTGAAAGTGGACAAAATTCAACTTTTCCTCAAGCCTACTGCACTTCGCTTCCATTTCCAACCTTGACCGACAATATATACAAATCTTCCTCTTGCGGTTTTTCCATCTTTGGTCTGGAACAGACATAGAATATTCCTCAGGAGTGCAGAGTCGCAGCTTCTTTGAATCGACCTCGCCTTGCTGGTACTCGTTATGGCGTGAACAACAACACGAAGCCGAATTCGGCATGGAGAAACACTCGAATATCACATAAAAAAGAACTATATACAACTATTTACAACTGAGATGTGATATTTACAGATATTCGTACGTTTTAGACTGAATCAAGGGGAAAAAAACCCGTCAATTTGCGCTCATGAAATGGCTTTCACTCTTTGTGTAATATGACACTTCGGTGATCTGAACCTTCGTGGGCAGAAATCGTCGTGTTCCCCACATACTAATTTTGTACGAAATTGCAAGACAATAGGTCGGGGCCTATTTTTCCTACTTTTGGCATTTCCGACGGCAAAATCGGGGAAAAATCGCTTTTTTAAGGGTTTTAGCCAATCAGAATTCTGCATTTTAATTAGTTAAGCCAATTATCTGTGGTTGGGTAAAAGGATTCCATGCATTCCGTTGCCGTTGCTGCTATCGTTCTCAGACGGAGCGTTACTTAACATTTTACATTTGTCTCGAGTTTATTGATTCACGCATGTTAAATTTGATGAACTGGACCTAAGATTTTCATGCATGCATGTTTCGACTCTATTTTGGTTAACTTGTTATGTGAAATAATATGGCATAGCTGCATGCATACTAAATGTTTGGGGTTATTTATTTATGCCTCTTTAAACTCAATGTAATACGGATTTACCCTTTACTGATTACCATAAAGATGAAGCAACAAACACTGTGAAAAAGAGAAGAAGAACAGTCTGTGAAGAACATCAGCTTGCCCGCCGTTTTGACTAAAAAGCACATACCATCGTAACGGGCAGCTACAAAGCCACTTACTAAATGGCAATGCTAGATAATTAAGTGTCAGTGTTAGTTATTAAGGAGCAGTGCCGAATAAAAAGTGGCAGTGGCAGTTATTAAGTAGCAGTGCCAGATATCAAGTGGCATTGCCAGATAAATAAGTGGCAGTGGTAGTTATTAAGTATCAGTGCCAGATAAATAAGTGGCATTGTTGGAGGTAAAAGTGGCAATGCTTGTTACAAATATATTTTGCATCTCATGTCCCTTACTGGACACCGTACAGATGGGATAGAAGTAAATAAACTCAGAGAATCCGACTAAGCATTCAGCTTACAAGAATACAAAGCTGAACTGGGTAGACCATTTTATCTTTGTCCTTCATCATATTACTAACACGTTCAGGGCCCAAACAAGGATCAAGTGACAAGGAATATTGCGCATTAGGCAAAGAAACGGTAGACTAAAGCATCCTTGATTAATATTACCTTGGAATCCATTTCATCAACTGCGAGCAGGAAAACTTTGCAAGCAACTGCTGAGGCTGAATTATCATCTACTCTTTATTGAAACCGAGATACATCACGTAAAGGTTGTACCTGCCTGATAGAAGCCATCAAAAATGCTTATTGATTTTTTGCATTCTTAGAATAAAATTGTTTAGTGACTAATAATATTAAGGAAAGGTGGTTTGGAAGGGAAGACAGCAAAGAAGAAAAAACATTTTTTTACTTGGCTTAGTGAAAATATAATGCAACGTCAAAACATTACCTTGGTATGCAGGATCATTGCTGCGCTATAATCTTAAGAGTTAAAGGTAGGTAAATAATGCCTGTTTTGTTTGTTATCGTGTCGTTAATCTAACCTTAAGGTCTGCTCAATGTTTAGGGCCTGATCACACGTTTAAGATTTTAGAGGGTGTTGGGCATTTTCAAAAAAGGTAGATTTTTTAACCTAATGTGCAATTTTTCCTAGGTTTTAAGAAATGATTATGGGGCTGGGGGCTTAGGGCAGTGGCTATGTATGACCTTCACAAAGACGTACGTATATCTTCATATTAGAAGCAAAGGACGATCAATGTAGGAAATTGAGTTGTATAACGTAGATCAAAGTGACATCTTTCTAGTTGTTGAATCAACCCCTCCTATTGAAATTTTAGTGATAGGCATGAATAGTAAATCTGAACTAATTAGTTTGAATGAACAATGATGCAAGAATTAGTAGATTTTACCACTTTGACTACCTTTAACACACTGTGTGCATCAAGTTATCTTGATCTTGAACAAGTGTATTTAAATGCAATCAACTGTTGTAAACAGTCTTTACCTTCACCTCTTTAACTTCCTTACCAGTTTGGGGGGGGTAACAAAAGATACATGTACCTGTTCCCACTCTTCTTCACGGGATGGGTCAGCTGACATCACTACTGTATGAGATCAATTGTAAAAATACATTTTGTAAAACACCAAATATATAACATACAATTTTATGTACACACTTATAACAAATAATTTTCGAACAGCGGCTACCTTTTTCTTCTAGGATTGTAATGCTAGGTGTAATCTGTAGATGGTCATTAAGGCAGTGGTTTTGGTACTTATAAGACCACAGGCAGCCCAAGCTCACGTCACGTGAAAGGATTAGCTTAATTATTAGCGGTGTGCGAGCCGGGACGTGACTGTTCAACGAAAGCGGTATTGTACGGTGACCCATATCTGCAAACACAAAAAAAAAGTTCTTGAAACACAACAAACACTTTTCTAACCACAACACAGTATTATCTGAACACAAAAAACTGTTATCGAAACACAACACATTATTATCGAAACACAGCACATTATTATCGAAACACAACACAGTATTATCGAAACACAACACAGTATTATCGAAACACAACACAGTATTTGCAAAACACGACACAATTTTACCAAAACACAACACGAATTAGAAAACACAACACAATATTTGCGAAACGCATTCCCGCCAACAGCAGACGCATTTCCGGTCTAGATTTGTCACTATACAAAGCGTCATACAAAGGATACAAAGCATGTATCCATCGTATCCATCAGCCATCATTACTCAACCGCTGACACGTTATGCGCCTGAATCATTCCCGCTATTTTGTTTGTTATCTTCGCGTGTGGCGATCTGTCGCGAGAATGGATGTGTTTTTTAAGTGCTTGAACTGCTCAGAAGAGCTCGAGGAAACTTACTAATACTGCTCTAGTTGTGGAGCAGCCGTGGACAAAGAGGAGGTTCTCATTCGTTATTATTTTCAGCGTGGGTTTGATTACTTGGTTATATTACTCTTTTTAGAAAAGTACCATGCAACAGAAATGTCTATGCGTACGTTGCACAATAGACTTCGCGAGTACGGATTAAGAAGAAGGAATGTAAACAGTGACGATGCCGAAATTTACCAGGCCATTCAACAAGAATTGGACGGGCCAGGCTGCATGAGGGGTTATTGAGCTATGTGGCACACCCTTCGTTTGGATTATGGAATACAAGCACCAAGAAGAAAGGTGGAAGGGATTTTACAACAAGTTGACCCTGAAGGAACAGCCTTGCGAAAGGCGCATGCACTAAGGAGAAGGTCGTACACTAACCCAGGCCCGAATTTTGCTTGGCATGTTGACGGCTACGATAAGTTAAAGCCATACGGCTTTCCTATTCATGGTGCGGTGGACGGTTTCAGTCATCGAGTCATGTGGTTGAAAATTTGCCCCTTGAATAATGACCCATGCCACGTAGCTTCATTGTTTTACAATTGTGTTAAATCAAACAGAGGTTGCCCAAGAGTTCTTCGAACAGACTGTGGGACTGAAAATGTGACCATGGCGGCCATGCAGTGTTATTTTCGGGGAAACGGTAATGACGACCAAGCTGGATTAAATGCACATAGGTACGGATCGTCCCCAACAAACCAGCGCATAGAAGGATGGTGGTCATTTTATCGGCATGAAAGATCAACGTGGTGGATTAATTTTTTTAAAGACTTAGTTGAAACAAATATTGTTGATAATGCAAGTGAATTAAGTATGTCCTGTTTGTGGTTCTGTTTTAAAGATATCTTGCAGGCGGACCTAGATCATGTAAGGGATCACTGGAACACCCATTACATTCAAAAATCACGTCACGATACAGTCCCTGGTAGGCCTGATGAGCTTTTCTACCTTCCAGAGAACAGTGGGTTTGAAGATTTCAGATGTCCCATCACAGAACAACAACTTGATGATATGGCTGTGTACTGTACAACAGACGAAGAAGAAAACATTTTTCTCGAGTATTTTAATTATGCACTGGAGAGTTTAAATTTGCACCGTCCGACAAACTGGAGGGAGGCATTAATACTTTTCCAACGTTTAATGCAAGTATCACAATAGGTCATTCTAGGACAGTTTAGTACAGTCCAATGGTACTAGGGAAAAGCAGCAGATTGAAATGACTTCCACCAATTTTTCAGATGAAATGTAATATATCCTATTCAGTACTTTAAGTGCAAACAAGATTGGAAAATTGGTTGTACACAAAAGTACAACTTGTGATTACTTTGATGGGGCATTTGTCTTTCTCAACAGAACCTCTACTCTTTCACATTTAGAAATGAGATACAATATGGTAAAGTGAAACTTTATTCATATCCAATTACTTCACTTAAACATGAACAAGAACGATATCGCAACCTTAGTTTTCAAAAGACTGAGGAAAGTGTTTTAAAGCATTATTTACTATCCCCTAGTATTTATAAAATAATGCAAAGGTGACATTCTTATTCATTTGCATTTACCCTTTCAATTAAACATGAACAAGAACAGTATTAGGACCTCAGTTAATGTCAAAAGACTGGGGAAGAGTTTTAAAACATTATGCATATCCATATCCCCTGGTATTTGTAAATGCAAAGGTGACATCTTTTTTAAAGCCATCATATGTGTCATGCACCACTGGTAATAGCAACTGGCAGGAACATGCATTTGCTTTTGGGAACTTGGATTTTTCACCACATTGCTCAGGTGCATGAAGGAATTCAATGTGCAGTTCTATACCACCTGGGGGAACTTCCCTAACTCCACTGACAAAAAAAAGAATATCTCTAAAAGTCAATTCTACTGTTTTTTTCTTCAACATCTTGTAAAAAATCATTCCACCGGGACAACACTAGCCCTTCAAGTTGGCGATTATTTGAACCAGTTTCACTATAATGGACAGAAAAAAGACAGCCAAATAATTCTGCAGTTAGTGTTACTTCAGAATAACAGAAAACCTCTTTAAATTTCTCGTAATTTTCTGTCATAGCTTCAAGGACACCTAGTTGGGAAAGCCCTCCTTTAAATTGCTCAAATGCTGCATGGACCCTCTTAATTACAAACCAATGAGCAGTCTTGTCAACAAGATTTAAAATGTCTTCCTGTTTTCTTAATATCTGGAGGGTACCTGCAAGCTCTAAGACTGTTTCTAGATTATGATCTGACATTAGCTTTTGAGCCTCTTGAACAGATGTGGTATTCTTTAGAGCCTGCAGAGAATTTCTGAGGTCAAAATCATAAAGATCGTCAAGACAGACGTTTGCTTGTGTAACTCCTTTTGTCAATGCATCATACAAGGGAGGACCAAAGCATCTTGGTCCAGGACCACCATGAACTATGGACATAGCAATGAACTCACCAGCATAAAAAAAGTAATCATTTCCCAAATAGTTAGCATTGCATGACAAAAATTTTTTTTTTTCTGGACCACAAAATAACTGTGAGTTAACAATCCAATCCAGGACCAGGGTAAAAAATTCTCTTTTTGGTCCCCCTAAGTCAATTGCACCCTCAGAAGTTCCAGAATCATCAGTAAACTTAACTGAAACCTTGTTATCTGGAGAAAAAGATTTTCTTCTAAGCCCCTTTAAAGCTCGTTCCCAAAGATGACTACGACTTATATTAAATTTTGATATCTTATCTTCATTAATCTTAAGAGCTAGTTGTTCTAGTATCTCTTGTAATGACCAGCTCGTCTTTGTTTGAAACTCTTGAGGATCATCTACTGCCACAGCGACATTTTCTCCTTCAGAATCACTACTGTATAGCAAAGTGCCAGGGATTAAGGAGGCATAAAGCAGATCTGCATCACTGGTGGAACTAGGACCATCATCACATGTTACAGAATGTGCATATGTGTGAGGAACACGAACAGATGAGGCATTACCTGTACTGTAAAAAGATAACACGCTATGTGAATTCTTGTACCATCTTGTGGTGTGTGTTTTACTGCTAATTCAGTTTCAAACATCACATTAACTATCTTAATACCATGGCTAAAACTGAAGTGAAATGACAGTCTCCAGCACTCCCTAATTTTGCCTAAGGTTTAACTTTGGTGAAAGCCAGGTTAATGTTTTCTTGTTCAGTGTAATGTTTACCTTTGTTGAGTGGTAAGATGATCTGCATCACTACTGAAACTAACATCAACATCAGATGTTGCAGGGTGTGTTTGTGTTTTTGGAAATGCACTACAAAAGAATTTAAAGGCAATGAGTATTATTACAAATTGAACTGTGGTGGATGTTTTACATCCAGTTCACTTTTAAACGAAAGATGATTTCTTCTAAAACTACAGGTCAACAGTAGAATAAGGCAAGTCAGTTTCTTGTTTAGCCTAATGCCTACCTTTGCTGAAATGGAAGTTGATGGTCAGGTGTAGTTTTGCACTCTTCTGATCGGAATTTTTTCCTGATAAACAGCAAATTCGAAATTTCATTAATTTGTATTTTTAAATTGATTGTAAGGCCTCTGATATACAATCTGGGGTTTTCCTTCTGTATTATGCAACTACGGTAAACCAAACTCTTAAGTTTTTCTAAATGAAAGTTAAGTCAGATTTTGTCAATAAACACACCTAATAGTAATTATCTAGTATAGCATCCCACTAAATATTCATGATGAAGATAAGAGTATGTTAAACTGAAATAATGTAAGCTTAAGCTTCTGAAAAATATATTGAAAAAGGATATAGCTTTTGACGTTCCAAAAAGAGTGAAGTGTCCAAATAAAAGCTAATTTAATTTCCCCTCTCGTATAATTTCCTCTTCCTCCTCTTCTTGTTCTTAGGGCCCAAAAAACCCAGGGGCATAAATAGATGAGAGTGACTTAATATCTTACCTAACACCCTGAGTATCAGGCTCCGTCTCAGTTTCACTATCCAGTATAAACTCGTCTTCCGGTTCCTCTGGGCACAGGTACAAAGTAATTCTGTTGTAAGGTTTACCTAAATCTTCCTTGTAGTTTCGCAGAGTGAATTCTTCTTCTTGCTGACCTGGAAGATTCATGGCCAGTTGTCCATCTGGGTAAACCAGTTTCCAGCTTGTCTTCGAGTCAAATGCCTGGTCATGAGCTTGGCGTTTCACCAAGGCCTCTGTAAAGACTTCTGCATATCCACAATCCTTTCTTACTTTCAAGGCCAATGTCTTTCCACGGATCGGAGCTGTCACATCTGGGCCAACAAACCGCATCACGCGTATATTAATTAACGCTAAGGGATCTTCTTCTTTCCTCTTCTGCCCTCTTCTCTTGGAGCCACTTGATCGAAAATGAGTCGACCTCTCTTCGCTTTTCTTTGCAGCATAGTTTTTGAAGCTCAAGCATTTTGTTGCACCTTTATCTGTTTCACTTGCACTAGAGTCGTTTTCTACCTTTTGTCCACAAAAAGGGCAAAATTTTGAAAAAGATTTCAAACCAGCTCCACAGCTCGCACAAAACATTTTTCCAAGTAAAATGGCGAACAAAAATGCCAGGAAATTGCAAAGCATGTCAGCGGTTGAGCAATGATGGGTTTATACCTTATATAGTAATACTGCATTACGTAATCGGGAAAATTTTGTGTTGTGTTTCGCAAATATTGTGTCGTGTTTTGGGAGATTTGCGTTGTGTTTTGCAAACACTGAGTTGTGTTTCGATATATTGTGTTGTGTTTCGATAACACCGTCTTGTATTTCGATGACATTGTGTTGTGTTTCGATAATACTTTGTTGTGTTTCGATGACATTGTGTTGTGTTTCGATAATATTGTGATGTGCTTCGATAATACTGTGTTGTGTTTCAATAATAGTTTGTTGTGTTCAGATAATACTATGTTGTGTTTGAAAAAGTCTTTGTTGTGTTTGCAGATATGGGCCACCATAGTATTGGGTTACATGGCGGCTGTGAATTTATGAAGGATTTGTATGGGAATCCACGTTATAGATTTAGGAAGATAAATACTCGTAGAAATTCTCAATAAAAAAACGTCTTACCTTATTTACATGGTGTGTTCTTGCTTGCTGTGTGGTTATTTTCCCGATCCGGTGCGATTTTAGCGATTTTTTTCATTTCTGAGTTTCCACTACTAAAGAGAGAGCAAGGCCGAACACTTCCAATCTGGACAGCCCGCCGAACGAAGCCAAAAATTCCACGTTAAAATATCCCCACGGCCAAAATTCCACCGCAGAATCCAACTACAAAGGTTAAACTTTCATTTCAACTTTCTAGCCACGCAATCGCATCCCTGCGAGCGACGCCAGGCGGCAGTTTGTTTCCCCGATGAAACAGTAAAACGTTGGGCCAGAACCGTGCACAAATCCACCACGACACAACGACCGTTGAAATCGGCTTGGTAACCTCGTCACGTTGACAAACAAAGACTAAGGGTACACTAAGGGTACACTAACGCAAATTGTCAACATGAATTTCTGTTCTCATCCTGGGTCCCCTCGGGTCGAATCGACAATACCACATTGTCTCAATCGACCAATCAAAATCGCGCCGTGTCGGGTTTACAAATTTTGAAAACCGTTCTGTTGTACACTACACACATTTCTCTGAAATGGCTGCAAGGCCGAGAAAACGTCCGATCGAGAGTGAAAGCTCAGGAGAAAACGAGGAGATTAAGGCATTGCTCAAGTGGAAGTCATGGTAAGTATTCGCCTTAACGCGGATTTTGTAAGCTTCTCATAATATTCGCTTGCTTGTATTGATGTAAGAAAAAGCGTTGTTCTTCATAGGGTGATGTGTAACTACGAAGAAAGTGCAGATAGTCTCACGGAGGCTAAAGATATTTTATTGGCAGGATCTCAACAGAAAGAAAATTTCTCCTCCAACTTGAATTCCGTTCTACTTGGAAACATTGTTAGTGAAATATGGGGAGAGAAAGTCAAATTAGTGAGGCGTGGACCACGCAAAGATCGGCGAAGCTGTTACCTCGAATGGAAGTGGTTTCGCCCCCTTGCAAATTCGCCCCCTACAAGTTCACCCCGTTCCAATCGAGTACGCCTCCTTATTTAATCGAGTTCGCCCCCAATATATCTAATATTATTTGATCGTGTGGTCATTGCTTTTATTCATTTGGTGGCTCCTAAAGGAGCCGTTTGGTCCTGTACGAGTGCAACGTCTAACACCACGGTTAGACCTACAGGAATTATATGTCGCGTGGACCATACAGGCGTGCGCAGGCCCGTAAGAGCTGCTTGCTCGTCCTCTCGCCTGACTTGTATTCCTCCCACAGGGTAAAGATTCTTGATTGTAGTTGGCGGTAGACGCTACGCTGCATTCTCTTCAATTTCCTCTCTGAAACTAAGCGGATCTGCAGCGAGACGAGTTTCGCTTCTTCGTGCAGCAGCTGGATTAGCACGTAGAAGGGCAGCTGCATCTTTCCGTGGCAACGTCTGTTCAGGCCGTGGTGCCACCCTTCCACGTCGTTATTGGTTCTTACCGAGCGAAGGTAAACGCTCCAACATGACGGCGGCCATGACGCGTTGCGGTGCGCCCAGGTGCGGCTGACGTATTCCATGAAATCCGACAGGCGTTCAGTTGTCGCTTGACGTTGAAGGCGCTCGAAGATTGGCACGATTTCTGCTTCGGGTAAAAATGGCAAAGCCATTACCTTCCTCAGGAGTGAGTAAGTTCCTTGGTCTTCCGTGTAGGCAGCTTGAAGCCCGCATTCTTGCACCTACAAATAAATATCAGAAACATTTTAGTTGCTAATCGATCGATCAAATTTAAATTGGGATTTACGCGGAAAACTTGTTTTTTTTCGCTTATCTTCATAATATAGGTCGCAGTTCCCGGGTCGCCAATTTGCCCATACATGTAACAACGATTACTAACATAACATACCTTTCTCCAAACAGCTTGGGTCCAGTGAAACACACAACCCGTAATCTTCACGCTAGGAAGCACCTCCCGCAACGCAGACCAGACAGCCATTTCGTAGTCGATAACGATGCCCTTTACAGTGGGTTGAACAGGCAACATCTCGATGACTGCTTTAAACACCGCCTTGTAGTCCTTTTTCTTTTTGCCGGACATCAGGGCAAACACCAATGGAACCTGCTTGGGGTGATCTTCGGTTCTCACGAAAGCGTTGATGGAGACCAGTTGTGTAAACGGATGGCGACAGAGCTTAAAGGTACCGTCTATATACCAACTCTTGGATCTGGAAAGCACATCAAGCTGCTGATCGGTGGCAAATATGAGGTGACGGCGGGAATGGCGACCACGAACCTGTAATGCAATGAGAAAGGATCATAAGTACGGTCCCCGTCACAGCCAAAAGCCTACTGCGCCAAGTCAGTCTGCTACACATATACTATCAGTTTGGTTGAAAAAAAATTACAAACGTTTGTATAATCACAATGTTTTAGTGCTTTAGTGGAGTTCTATACAAAGTATTTGACCTAACGTGCCTTTGTAATTATCTAGTTTTTTTTTTGCAAGCTATTTGAAACTAAATCCGATTTTTAAAAAAAAGCTCTAACCGTGATATCCTTTCGGAGGAAGTCGTCTGGAATGTGGTCGTGGTCCAACTGGAACTCCATGTCTTTAGGATCGGTCGGGAAACATCGCACAATTTTTCATCACGGTAGTTGCAGTCACGTGCTAGGTAACGAAAAAGTTCACGTGTATCAAGTTCCATCGCGTAAAAAAACAACGCCAATTTTACGAGAGATTAACTCAAACTCGCTTCGAAGTTAAATGCAGGACGACGGCCAAACATAACAAACACAAGATTTTTTTTATCTTGTCGAACGGAAAAGTAAAGGACTTGCAGACTTTATTAAAAATGTTTATTGTAACGCACTAATATAATGTGCGACACAAAATCGAATTCTACCGTGAGCGAGTTTCCTTCTATGTAGCACACGCATCAAGTCGATGTTGAACTCTAAACTTCAAGGAGACACAAACAAAAAAAGGTTAGCGTATTGACACTAGTAGATAAACATGAGGCGAACTCGATCGTTTTGGGGGGCGAACCAGGTTCCTTGAGGGGCGAACTATAACGGGGCGAACTCGTTACGGGGCGAAACCACTGGATTCCGTTACCTCGACCTAAGACCTAAAGATCCTAAAAAATCCGAAGTACCACAGGAGACTTTCCAGCAATTTAGGGAAAGTAGCATGGAACTTGTTGGTGGATGGAACACGATAAGCGACCACCCGAGCTTTGTGTCATTTATTCGTTACGAGTCCTGGTCATTCAATAATCAGCGAGTTTCTATTGAATTCAAGGTAACTCAACTTCCTTCTTCAAAAATTCGTTACACCCTGATTTCTCATGGTTGCGAAAGTGACATCACGAACCTAGTGGATGTAGCAAGCATAGAGCGATATCCGTTGAGTCAGAGAGCCATCCTGTTTCTGGCATTTATTGATAATGGCCAACTTTGTAGAGGAGCACCAATGGTAAATGGTGAAACCACTACCCTTTCCCATAACACGGGAAACTATGTGGATTTCACGGAAGGAGCTACCAACGTAATGGAAATAAGGGCTTTCTCTGGCAACTGCAGTATTGTTCGTATCCGAGAAGGCATTTGCTGTGCGAACTGCATGAAAATCAAAGTTATAGGTGCCAGAGCTAAGCGACGAAAGGAGGCAAGAGACACCATTCATCCTTGTACCAATAAAAGGTATCTCTCTAAAAGTGAAGTCGTGCAGCAACTTGCCGAAGAAAGGCAAGCACGTTATAACGCCGAGAAAAGGGAGCACTACTGGAAAGAAAAGTTTAAGTCCCAGTGCATTGAAATGGATCGGGAAGATGACGAAGATTTGTCCCAAATTTTTTTAAACATAGCAAAACAGAATGTTCCTGCAGAGATGGCCTGTCTGTGGCAACAACAGAAAAACCTGTTGGAATGCAAAACCAAAAACGGTTATTGGTGGCATCCAAAGTAAGTAAGCAACTCTTAGTCATACATGTAAGATCAAGCTACAACTTAAAACACAAATTTCTTGAATTTTTTTAACCATGGGTGTGGCTGGATTTATTCTGGGAAATTGACCAAGAGGGACGTTCTCCACAGGGAGGGAGACTTTTACGTTACTAGATTTTGACTGTTTGAATTGAAAGGATGATTGAGTAACCTCGATCGGATTCCCTCAGAATGTATTGTTCTGTTTTCTTGTGACTCTTATGGATCTCCCCTTCATCCAGGTGCTACATAAAATAAATCTCCCTGGGTAAAGGGGATTAGAATGGACCTGCTGCAACACTTAAGATGATGATCAACAACCTAAAACCAAAGTGTCTCAAAATTTATTTGCCATGTAATTAACATACTATTTAACTAACAAAACTCCTATCAGCATAATTTACTTCAACATATTGCTGACAAAAAATACAGTATGTACATGAAATTACAACAACTGCAAAACAATACAGTAAGTTCCTGAAAGCCTATTTTTTTCTCAAATACAGAGTTATGAGACTGTGCCTGGACTTGTATTGTAAAAACCCCCACGTTTTGGATCCCCTCCGACAATTTTTAATTCTTCCAAGCAACAAAACTATAAGGTGAGTAATTTAAGCATCCTTGTTTCACATGATTATAGATATTTATGATTATGATTACAATTAAACTGTGCACACAGTTTGTCCTAAGGTATTTATACAAATTCTTTGGTCTCATGCAATCTCTTTTTTTCTGAAGAACAGTTTCCTCTTGAGTGTCCTTTGACCAAGACCATTTACATGATTTGTCTTTTTTAAGCATGAACAATCTAGCTAGGTGGATGCTGTAAAGATGCAATTCATTCCCACTACCATTAATGCCTATGTCCTATATATAGTAATATTTACATGCAAAATCTGAAATCCAATACATTTTAGTATATTGAAACCCTATCAATCTGCTCCATGTTTACTGATATTTAAAGGCTCTACAAAAACAAAGTCAAAGAAACAATTGGATGGAACCCTGAAGTATTGAGATGGTGCCTGGAGGCTGCCAAGGAAAGTGGATTGAAAGCAGCAGACTACATGGGTGGTTTTGTGATTGACGAAATGAAGATCCAGGTACCCTTAATTCAAATCTGCATAGAATATATTTTGGAAATATTCCATAACAATTATGTTTTACTGAAGATAAAACAACAATACCAAAGAGACTGGTAATACTTAAAAAATATAAACATCAAGCGGAGATGATGCACTATCCAACATAATACTGTTATAGTGCAGTTTAATTCAAACTGTTCTTAAACTCTTGTTCATTATAAATCTCATACATTGGCTTTGGTCAAAATTTTCAGGAGAATTTAGAGATGGCCAATGTTGATGGGAAACACAAGCTTGTTGGTTTTGTGGACCTTGGAAAAGGCCATGAACTAATGAAGGCTCTCTCAAGTAAGATTACCAGATTAATGTAAAGGGTGCATAGAATAAGGCCCCAAGTGACTGTTGATGTGATGTCAAATTACAGTTTATGGTTTTGTTTTACAAGAAAATTCAATTTGAAAGGAGAATCTAGCAGTTTATCAGAATAATAGTCACTTAGAGTCTCTTTTACACCCACCTCTTCAATAATTGAGGGGGTACCTGTAATAAAGCACCAAGTGACTTCTGATAAAGCGCCAGATTCTCCCATCAATTTTCCTTAGATAAATTCATGTGAAATGAATTGGGGAAGACTGTGTTAATTAAATCAGGAGTCACTTAAGGCCTATTCCATGCACTCCTTCAGATCTTACTTCAGCTGCAGCTACACTGCAACTAAAGGGTGATAAGCTCATTAATTTTCTTCTAGTCTTTAAATGGTTGCAAATAGATTTTTTAGTCCTTGGCTGTGGCTTAAATATATTAATAAGCTTTCTGAGAATTTTTTTCTCTTGTAAATATTATTCCTCTAACCTATAGCCTGGCCATTAAATGACTCAACATCCAGGACATTTGTTCCTCTTTTAAATATTTGTAGAAATGTATAACTGCTATTGGAATTTTGACACTTGTATATATAAGTTAGGTATAGTACTATCAGGCACGGATCCAGGATTTTGAAATGGGGGGGTGAATTTTTGTAATAATGTAATAGAACCATGCAAAGCCTCAGGTTGAGGTGTTTGAGATCTGTGCATAAGGGAAAGAAAGAAGAGGGCTCAGAAAAAAGGGGGGGGGGGTGAAAATTCACCCATTTCACCTCCCCTGGATCTGCGCCTGATTATTATCATTATTATTAGAAATACCTCTTGACAACCGTATCCTGATGTGACCATCTACGTCAGCTGAGTTCTCTACAATCCTGAATTGTCTGTCGTCCACAAGGTCTGTGTTTGGAATGCAGTTGTTCTGAGAAATAGCACCTAGTAGTTCTTCTGCTAGAGCTGGCTTTAATGATCTTGAAGACACTCTGAGACCATATGCTTGACACAGTGCTGTCAATTCAGATTTGAGATATACCCTACTCAGTGGGCCACTGCCTTGATGCTGATGAATGAAGGCAACCAGACGACTATGTGAAACCGTCTTGTTTTGACTTCTGTCTTTCAGAATTTCCTGTTAAAAGTCAAATGAAAATGCGATAATAGTTTAAAACAAACAGAGAACGAGTGCCTTTTTTTTCAGACTATTACAATTTTATTATTATAACCATGTAGAAAATTTATATAAGATTTATTAATGTTACCTTGTAAGTCAAGTATGACATTTATCAATTCTAACTAATTCAGCATTGTTGTAAACTTTCAGGCATATTTCTAGTGCATTAAAACGCTTTTTTTTACCTTGTATGGTACACAATCCGTCTTCTCTTTGGTCTTTTTGTTCCTTTGTAACACTCTTTTCCGCAATTCCGCGCTCTTCTTGACCAAAGATGCTCTCCTGTAATCCCGAAGAAATTGGGCAGCACCCATGTTGATGTAGTACATCAATATACCATGAAATAGTTTTTCAATCAGTTCCTGTGTAAAGAGAGAATACAATGAATGTAACGCTACGCTGGCCACCATTTTTGTTTGACACCCCCGCCATCGCTTATGTGCCACTCGTCATGGACAATGTAGGGGAGGTCACACGCAAGTAACTAAAGGCAGCGGCCGCTGGCACAAATTAACTATTGCTGTTAACTGTAAATATTTCTCACGCTAATGCTGTAGTTCAGTTTTGTCCTTGGTTCAATTTTGATTTTCCTTTGTTTTATATTCATTATCATATATTAACATAGAAAAAAGACAATGGAAAATTAAAATTAAGCCTGGGATAAAATTGACCTACAACACAGAGGAAGCGCCTTTTGCAATTTGACTACGGTATATGCGTATTATAGGCCGTTATCTTGCTATGTTCATTACCTTGCTCTTGTTTGCATCCTCCTCTGGAAAACACTTTCTCCATCTCTCCTTTAACGTTTCTTCGCTGGAAAGGCTATCAAGGGCTGCTTCCACCATATCTTCACGCGCTTTCTTCAGAACTTGAAAGTTAAGCAAGTCCACCCTTCTCTGTTCAAGACTTAGAAAGAAGACATACGCGTCATCAGAGATGTGAAGTAGGCCCCGTTGACGATACTGACTCTCTTCTGTAACTTGTAAGGATTCGGGAAACTTGGAACTTTCCTCTAGTTGATCGAAGGGTTGAATAATGTTCTCCTCCAATAGTTCACAAGCTCTTTGCTGACTTTCAACAATGGCCAAAGTGGAACTGGAATTTGTGTGTACATTTCTTTGGACGTACTTCCGTGCCTGAGATAAGACTTTCCTCACCGCCCAACCACCAACGTGACGTACCTTTGAGCGCCCCACCTCCGTCATTTCTCCGACATCAAAGATAACAGGCTCACTGGTTGCTTCCTCTCTCACAATACAATTCAAGTGTCCCAGAAATCCATAGTAGACGAAAGTAGCCAGCTGTATTGCGACAGCCCGTTGAGGAGGGGTACTTTCGTTCACGCCAAAAACAACGCAGACATACCTTGAAAAATCGTTCCCATTGAAAAACTGATGCAACGCACCAGTCACCTCAGTGAATCCTTGCCGTCCGATGTCAATGACAATTTCCTCGTGGTTTTCGACGATGTGGTTTTCGATCAGCAGGAATACATGAAACCAAATCAGTTTTAAAAAAGGTTGAACCTTTGATATCCAACAAGCATCATTTACCATTAAGTCAATCATACTGTTCTTTTGTTCTTGAAAGGGAGACACAACTAATTCTGTTTTCATGGACAGTAGGCGAAAAGAGAATTGATGAAAAATTCGTCGGGGGGACTTGACAGCGTTGATTCATGCCTGGTCAGCCTTTCAAAAATGTCCAGTAGCTCCAGTGGGGTAGCAACCTCATCATCTTCAAAGCACGCTCGTACTGGCCCATCGAGCACGTCACATGGAAATGTATAGGGCTCTTCGTTTTCCTGGTTGATATCCTGGTAGCGGTCTCTTACACAGAGCATATTAGCTTGGTTGATGGTCTTGTTGCGATAGCAGGAGAGGTCAGCAACAGGCTGGCAAACGTGTTTTGAAGAGCAGATATCAAGAGCCTTTTTCTGCGGCTTCAAAAGCTGTCGACTATTGAAATTTAACACCTGTATGTGTTCGGGAGACTTGACTCTTGAAATCGCCACATAAATGAGCCCCGGTACATACTCTCTAGAGCAGTGGACGACTGCAGATGGCAAAGTGAGCCCTTGTGACTTGTGGCAAGTGCACGCATAAGTGAGCACGATAGGAAACTGCGTCACACTTCCAATCTTTTGACCATTCCTATCCCTCTTTATCCACGTTTCCCGCCCTATTTCGACTATCCCTACTTCTTTAAAATTGACCAACAGGTCATTGCCCTTTACACCAGTGAAGATACCAAGGGTATCGTTTTTCAAGTCATCCGACTTGTTCCAAACCAGCATCACTTTGCAGCCACGTTTCAATTGCAAAATGGAAGCTCCTGGCCAGCTCATGCTCCTCGACCTGTCATTTTCAAAGTCTGCTTGAAAAGTGATCATTTCTTCATTGATTGCATCCAGCTGGCATCGGTTTTCTAGCTGCACAGGAACCTTCCTGAAATAAATATGTGTAGCATTTTGAAGGAGTTGCCAGGGTAATTCCCTTTGCAAAGAGGTGATAAAATGTTCTGTGGCCAACGAACAATTTCCTTCTCTGATTTCTGATACACCGGACAAAAATGCTGGGTCTTGCTGTCGCATAACCACCGTTAAACCGAAACGATGAGCCACAGCAAAGTCAAACAACGGGGAAAAAAACATGAAGTGGCCTTCATCAAAGAGATTTGGTACAGGTTGCCGCTGAAGGAATTCGCCAATAAGTATGATTTGCTTTCCTGCAAAAGGGAGATTCTTGCAATCATCTGTCGCTAATTCGTGATGCAGAAAATTGACAAGTTCAAACATCCTCTGAGAGGACATGCTCGCCTCGTCCCAGATGATTACATCGATGGCCTTTATTCTGTCTCGTATTAAAGAGTTCTCGCAAGATCGATCAATAACTTGCCGCCAAGGCAACTCCGCAGTTGAAAGGCCGTAGTATGAGTGCACTGTTGACGCTTCGCCACGATCATATACTTGGCAAGCAATGCCGCTAGAACATATGACAGCTACCTTTTTCCCACGTGCTTTCGCTGTTCCGATTATCGTTTTCACCACCTCGCTTTTCCCGACTCCAGCCTGGCCAGTAATTAATAAATTATGGCCTTCGGAGGCAAACTTTACTATAGTATTCTGGTCCTCGTTGAGCTTCACCCTAAAGTTGGAAAATTAAGAGTGGATGAATGTCACTTCCATCGCTAGCTCGTAGATTACAAAGACAACGAGGTGCCAAAATATCATTCCTGAACTTGAAGATTTAAACGCTTGAATAAAAAACAAACGAAATAAACATTAGACTTACATGACTGAACGGTAAAGAAATCTGTCCTGAATTTCCAGATGATCACATCGTAATAAGAAACAAATCTCCACGTAATAAGAATAAAATCTCCAGCTCCACGTATTTTTCTCCCTGGGTTTCCTCTGAGTTTACATAAACTTCCGTGTTGTAAACACGACACGGCGCAATTTTGATTGGTCGATTGAGACAATGCGGTATTGTCAATTCGACCCGAGGGGACCCAGGATGAGAACAGAAATTCACGTTGACAATTTACGTTAGTGTACCCCGTGAGTCTTTGTTTGTCAACGTGACGAGGTTACCAAGCTGATTTCAACGGTCGTTGTGTCGTGGTGGATTTGTACGCGGTTCTGGCCCAACGATTTACTGTTTCATCGGGGAAACAAACTGCCGCCTGGCGTCGCTCGCAGGGATGCGATTGCGCGGCTAGAAAGTTGAAATGAAAGTTTTACCTTTGTAGTTGGATTCTGCGGTGGAATTTTGGCCGTGGGGATATTTTAACCTGGAATTTTTGGCTTCGTTCGGCGGGCTGTCCAGATTGGAAGTGTTCGGCCTTGCTCTCTCTTTAGTAGTGGAAACTCAGAAATGAAAAAAATCGCTAAAATCGCACCGGATCGGGAAAATAACCACACAGCAAGCAAGAACACACCATGTAAATAAGGTAAGACGTTTTTTATTGAGAATTTCTACGAGTATTTATCTTCCTAAATCTATAACGTGGATTCCCATACAAATCCTTTATAAATTCATGGCCGCCATGTAACCCAATACCGCTTTCGTTGAACAGTCACATCCCGGCTCGCACACCGCTAATAATTAATCTAATCCTTTCACGTGACGTGAGCTTGGGCTGCCTGTGATAAGACAGCTTCACTGCATGCAGCTACACTTTTATGGTGTCATAAGAACGGTCCCATTTGCCCAAAAATGTCTCTCTGTTAAATAACTTATTTTAGTAATAGCTCCTGACTAAGTTTTATAATGTGGCTTATTTAAAAAGTGTTCTAAGAGGAAGTGATAGGAGCCTGGTGTTCTCCTCCCTGTGAAATTCTGGGTGTAGAGCATAAGATTATAAAAAGGAAAAAAACAAAATTAATATAAAGTGTATAAAAAAAATGATGTCTTCAAGTTTCTTAAAGGCAAGAATTAATGGGGTAACAGACCAGCAAGAGAGCTGTTTGCTTTCAGGCCAGCAAGCACTGCAAGACCTGAAACCGCCCTGCATTAATTTATCCCTTCACATAAAAATAGAACCCACTAGGGATAATGAAACCTTTATGCTCATTATGAGGAATGTCTAGTAAATTGTGTACTTGTACTTCACAATTAACTACCAGAGTCTATTGTATAACTAACCTGACCACATTTTTCATAGCAGTTCATATTCCAATAATATGAACCTTAAATAGCTAATACATTTTGTATTTTCCAACATTTACCTGCAATAACTGGTAAGATATTTGAAATACACGACAGAGATAACACAACATTGGTACTAGAGACAGACAGGACAACACTTTTTGGAATGGACGTACATGTAGCAACACTTAGGAGAGGTAACAATGCACTGGTTACAAAAGTGTAGTTGACAAAGACGTGCGTACTTACACTGGTGGCAACAGATTGGGCAATGATTGGTGGAGCACAAGTAGTGACAACAGAGGGAATAAAAGTGGAGGAAACAGGTGGTACAACAGTAATCGCATGATTGATGAAACAACAATAGACAGTGGGACATTGGGAGGAGCTGATGAAGCTGTAGCAGCATACGTTGTACTGGCCCTTGCAATAGAAACAACACCTGACTTTGATGTTAAAGTGCCTGAAATAAAACCATTAAAAATCAAAAATTATTAATATTATTATAATTTATGCAGAAAGAAACCAGTCATATTTAAGTGATTCTGATGGCCAATCAAGCAAAAGTTTGTTCCATTCTCTCATTAAGTAGCCATTCACTTCTGTCAAGAATTTAATAAATGAATTTAAGACAAATGATAATAACATTAAGACTAAACATTTCAACTCATACAGCTCAAAAGTTTTTTTCTTGAAGAGACCACCTAGAATACGAGCATCAATGAAAGCTGCATCGGATTAATCCCTGAAAACATACAAAGTTCTCTCATACCTTTCCCGATAGAATTTGGGACAAAAGATGATAGGGGATGAGAGGGAGGAGAAATGATTGCAATAGAATTTCAAATTCACCAAGCCCCAAGATTAATAAACACATAAGCAAAGAAATACAGGACCGCTTCACCTAGTGGCACTGTGAAAACTGCAAAATTTAAATTTCGTCATTGCATATTTGAATATAAAATTTATCGTAAAATTTCTATCAGTGCACCTGCCCATTTCACTACACAGCTGACTTCATTTACATTGATGGTAGGTGCATTATGACTTTTTATCAATTTATTTATCAAGTTAATTACATAAAAAGATGTACTCATTAGTAGAAGTTTGTCTGAATCGAAAATATAACTTTTTACTCCAGGATTGAGCAAAGATCCTACAAACCAGCCTGCCACCCAGCACTCTGCCAGTTAATATCTTTTCCATGTCGTGCCCCCTCCTTTTTGATTTGTAGCTTCGAATTCTAGGGAGAAAAGTAATATATAATTATACAGCTTACTTTTTGATAATCTTAGTTACAGTAGGGTTTCATAGCATCAGATCAATTTAAGTTTTTCCCAGTTATAAAATCTCTCAAATGCAAAGAGCTTGTGTCAATGACCAGGCAACAACCTATTATTCGTCACCAGTTTACTTTTGCTTTTCTTTAAACCACAGATAACCCACGCTCGAAATCTGAGTGTTGTTATTATTATTTATTTATTCCTCCAATTCCTAGCTGATACATAGTTATGTAAATATAACTGAAAGGAACATAGTTACAGATAAAGATTTACAAAGGAAAAAAAACGCGTAAAATAGAAATTGCAACACTTAAATTGAATTACATTGTATATTGGAAGGAGAGGAGAGGGTCACATCTAGGTAAACTAATATTGTGCCCCTTAAAGTTATGTATAACAAAGGACTTAATATTATTACTAAAAAAAGTAAAGAATAAATGACAAAATAGCTCAGAAAGTTATAAAAGGGATATTGATTCATTAGTATTGAGCCAGGTACCAGTGTCAAAGTGCTTTTTTAAACATTTGTTTGGATGGCTTGTCTCTAATGGATTACGGAATATCATTCCAAAAGAAACTTCCAATAATGCTGGGGCAAAATCTCCTAAGATTAGTTCGAAATAAAGGTATTGC